CAGCAGCTCTTCCTCACCAAGGCTTGCATCTGCATCCAAGGAATCTCATCCCCGGATGATGGATCGGGATCCTGTTTGCTTCTTGTGGTCTTCCACAGTGCAGAGACTGGTGCTGGCATCAAAGTGGAATGGGAACAGTCCTCCCAGCAGCTGTTCTGGGACATGGAGGGGCTTCTTTTTCTCTTTGCATTGATTTGGAGCTGCAGATGGGCCCAGCTCAGAAAAACTGATGGGCTCAGAGCTCTGTGCCAGAGCCACCCTGAGCCCAGTACCTGAGCTCCAAGACACACCAGAAAGTTTCCTGCTCCAATTTTTTGCCTTCCTGGAGCTGATACAACCCAGGCTGTCTTTCCTGGGTCACCATTCATATCTTCTCATGTCCTAACTCTGCATCCTCCTGTGGCACAGAGCTGGTCTCTTCCTCTGTACAGATCACTGAACGACTGAAAGGCAGATGTGGTGGGAGATCAGCAGTTTTTTCTGGCCAAAAAAACCACCTAACTCATAGCCCTTTGCAGGAATGAACCTCAGCTCACCTCCCTGATGGATTTTCTGGTTGTTAGTGGAAGACCTGCCCTGACCACGAGCAGCCTGGGATCTCAGGGGAGTGACTTTGCTTTTCTCACCTTGGCCCAGGACTGGCAGAATTTGGGTGTTCCAGCTTGGAACAGTCTCTTGCAGGAGCCCAGGGCAAGGGTGAGAGCCCAGCACAGCAGGAGGGGGTGGGTGAAGCACACAGGGTGCACTCAGGAGCCTTTTTCCCTTTTCCTTGCCCTAAAAGCCAGGCTGGGTCATTGCAAGGTTTATTAGAGATCCCAGTGAGCTCCTCCGGCTTTTTGGGCCCCGGCTGGGCCCGAGCGGGTGGGTGGTGACTGGAACAGATGCTCTGGAGTTGGGGATAGGATATTTCTGTCTTGTCTCAATTGCTTGGAAAGCCCTGTGGAAACCCTTGCCTTGATTTATTGCCCCACTGACACGTCTTGTCCCCACTGTTCCAGGAGGAGATCAGAGCCTGAAGCCGGAGACCATCGGTTCCTCTCTCAGCAGGACTTAATTTTCCTAAAACAAAGGAGGGTTTCTCCTCTCCCCAGGCCCAGCTCAAACCCAAAACATGCCATAATTTGAAGGAAAAACCAAAATCTGTTGTTTCAATCACTGCATTCACGAGGAAAAACGGTCCTTTAAGTGCAAGGCTGAGCCTCACCTGCAGCATCTCCCACAGGATGGGCTGGGGCAGGATCAGGCCCTGCTATAAGAGGGATCCCTGGGATTCTGGGGGGTGTTTTGGCTCCTGGGAGGTGGTGAGTACATTTGGCACTGCAGTAGCAGAGCCCTATTTCTGTCAGCCTTCTGGCACCACAAAGGGGACAGGCTTTTTTAGGGGATGCGGGTGATGCTTCGCTCTCGTTTCAGATGAAGGGGGAGCTGCCAATTGCATGACTCAGGATGGTTTAAGGAAAAGTGGAATGAAAACACGAGGGTGTTGGCTCCCATCTCCTGTCTCTCCTGCTGCCAGAGTTCATACAGCTGTTTCCTTTAGCTCAAAACTTGATGCTAAAAATACTTCTGAAAACTTGGGGATGCTGGCATTCCAAACTGCCTTATTCTGAGCTTTTTCTATGTTTTTCTGGTTTTTTCTTCCCCTTAATTGCTTTCTCCCTGTGCAAAGAGGCTAACCAGGCGCTTCCCTGCTCTGTACCAGGGTTTTCCAGCAGCAGGGTTTGGGACAGGCCATTTGCTCCCCACAGGAGGTGTGGAGGGGCTGGCTGGAGGAGGAGGAGGAGGAGGATGGGGCCAGGAGGGACAGCAGTGATGAGCAGAGCCCAGCTGAGTCAGAGCTGGGGATGTGACCCCTGGGAGTGACCAGATTTACACCAGCCCCAGGCTGTTCTTGGTCCAGCAGAGAAATACTCCTCTTCTCCCACCCACTGCCTCCTCTCCACTGTCTGTGACACAGGAGCCATCCCTCCCTCCAGCCTGGAGCTGCTGAGGACAGGATGTTTGCCCTGGGCAGCTGGGGCATCCCAAGCCCTGGGAGGTGGGGAGAGGAGATGTGGGAGCAGCAGGATGCTCTCATGCTCCATTTATCCTTATTGCTGCAGAGTGAGATCAGAGGCTGACTTTGAGGAAAGGCTGGATCTGAGACCAACCTGTTCAGGGTAGTTTTGCTTTACCTGCACAGAGCAACAGGGAAGTCAAGTAGGAATGTGGTGGCCTCTTCTCCACGTGATCCCTGGGGGAAACTGAGGGGCAAACAGCAGACAGATGCTCTGTGTGATCATGTCTCAGAGGGTCCCAAATCATCTCCTCGTGCCATGAAAAGAAAGAGTCCAGGTGACTGTAAAGAAGAGAAAAAACACCAGGAAAAGCCACTCTGCCTGGTGACTTTGTTTCTTTATTTTTTTTTACCCCCATCCCTGGGGCCCTGCAGCACGGTGGGCCCTGAGCCTTGGGCAGCATCCAGCCCCAGCTCCTGCTCCTCAGAGCAGTCCCCACAACGTGATTCAAAGGCTCTCTGGCTGCCGAGATCCAGGTGCTATTGGACTTTATCTGCAATCAACCCCCGGGACACTGATCCCCAGCTGAGCGGAGAATTACTCCGAGCAGCCTTTCCTTTCAGATACGCAATTTTAACTTCCTCTTTCTTAATTTAATTCCATCATTCCTCCATTTCACCCCCGGGAAGCGATATCACATCCTGATATCCAGAGAGAATTTGCTTTGCTGTCTCTAATTTGGCTCCGCTATTAAGAGGCGAAGAAGAGGCAACGCTCCGGTTCGTCGGACGGGATCTTTTTTGTTAGCCTCTCATTCCACCCCTCTTCCACACTTCCCAAAGCCCCGAGTCCGTGCTGGCGGCACGTTTAGGAGCTGCCGGTGCCGTGTCAGGAGGGGGCAGCCCCGTACCTGTGTCCCCATCCATCCCGGCTGTCCCAGCCCCTCCATCAGTTAATCCCTTAATGCGCTCTGCGGCGCTGCCGCCACGCTCCCATTTCCTGAGCGTTTCTCTTCCCCCCGCCCGGAGCTATTTTTACGAGGCCTTTGTTACTTCCTAATTGTCCAAACCACTTTTCCACATTTCTCTTGATAAAGGCAGATTTTTAAAAGCAGTTCAGCATCTCAGCCATTTTAGACTCATCATCTGCTTCATCCCTTTTATTGTTTAGCAAATGGCCTACTTTTGCTCGAACATTTTTATTCCCCCCCAAGAGAGGGTTGATTTCCCCCCCCCTCCTTTTTTAACAGCTTTCTTCTACCTCTTAAATAATTCCTCTTACATTGCTTCCTTCTGCCTTTATTTCATTATTTTATTCCCACCCATTCCTCTGCTGGGCCAGCCTCCATGGGCTCTGCCTCTCTCCCAGCACTGAGACTTGGGTTTATTTATTTTATTTCCTTTTCCTTGAAAGCCTCTTGGGTTTGGGGGGTGGTTCATTGCATTTATCAAAGAAGGGGAGGTGCTAGGGCTGGGTTTCATCCACCCACAGTGATGTGCTGGGGAGCACGGGGGGGTGGTTGGCATCACAGTGGCCATACAGAGCAGATTGTTGTGGTTTTTACTTTTCCAGCCTTTTTTGGACAAAAAATATTCACATACAACCACTGTCCATGCACAGCTTCAACATTTCTCTGGTGCTTCCAGAAGAAACCAGTTCTTGGAGGAAAATCCCAACAGCCCCTTGGTCCCTCACCCCAGTAAAGAGGGAATTTGGTCCCAAAATGAAATTTTTGGAGCTGCCTGGGGACCACATGAGCAAATCATTTTCTATCAGAGGGAAGGGAATGGAAAGGAGACAAATCATTGCTGCAGAAGAGTGTTGTTTCCAAATATTGAAATAAGGGACATGAAGAGAAAGACTTTTAATCTTGGAGGCAAACAAAGCCTTTCCCTCCAGCTGAGGCAGGTGAGAAAAAACAATCCCTCTGGGAGATGATGCTGAATCCCACCCTGGTGCAACTCAGTCCTGGATCAATGGTTTGTGCAGGACTCTGCTATAAACTGAACAGAAACAGGAGCTTTTGCATTTGCTGTTTAAGAGCTTTTTTTTTTTCTTTTTTAGAAGGGAAACAAAAGATGTCAGGAAGATTAAAGTTTAGGTTTGAAACAAGCCTTTCTATTAAATCTCTTGAGGATTCAAATTGCTGTTTCCTCAGCTGCAATAGCAACATTCAGCTGGATTTTGGGCGTAACAAGTGATATTTTAAGATTAAAGGTATGTCCAGCACATCCCTGTGCCTGCCCAGAGCTAAGTGGAAATGGCAGGACAAGCACGTCGGTCCCCCCAAGCACACGGAGACCATCTCTGGGCTGGGGAAAATTAGGGCAGCACATACTGAGATGTCCTGGTGGAGGGTAAGGAGGGAGGGAAGGATCCAGCAGTGAGGGCTGTGCCTGCCCACGGGCTCCTTGTGTCCAGGTACAGCTCCTTCCTCCTCCCATCCCCAGCTGAGAGTGTGGGACAGGAGGGGAGCGGGTGGCTGAGAAGGCTGCCAAGTGCACAACCATGTGGAGAATCCACACAGGAGAGCAACAGGGTGATGTCCCAAATGGGGAAAAGCTTCCTCTGCTGGGTTGTCCCAGCAGACCCCAGAGAACCAAATGCCAGCTGGGGTTTCCTTGCTGGTGCTGGTTAATGCCAATGCTGCCCGAGGCATTTCCCCAGGGAATGCTCTTAATTGCCTGGAGAGCCTCTGATGTCTGGTGAGGAAAACACTCACAGCGTGGCCTTTTCCTCAGCAGGGCCATTAATTATGTCTTTCACTCCTCTGTCAGGCTGTGGATCCTCACCAAGCCTGTCAGAACATAATTCTCTTCAGATTCCTATTATTACTGTCAAATTTGGTTCCAATTGCCTCTTAAGGTATAAAGTGACAAGGGAAGACACGCCGGCTGTCTCAGGCACAGGGAGGGTAATTGAATAAACCTCTTTTTCTCAGGAAACCAGGCTTGTGGAAACCAAAATACCCTTTTTTTGTTTGTTTCTTTCTCTGGAGCTCAGCACATTCATCCTGGCATCGCTGAGGGACAAGCAGGGGTGCAGCCTCCACGGCAGCTCTCCAGCCCACAGCAGCATCCAGGGATCACTCCCTGCAGGAATGCTTGCCATGGTCTTGGAGCACTGCTGAAAACCTGTCCCAGCAGAAGCCCACAGGGAAGGACCTGTCCTGGAGTCACGGGAAAAGCTCCTGAACAAAACCAAGCCCTGAATTCTCCGCTGAGCTGGAAGCACATGGTGAGCATCGCAGTGGGAGATGCCCTCTGCCTCGGGATTTCACACTGGGAGGTTAGAGGGGTTTAGCTATAGGATAATTCCTTCTTTTTCTCCTCCAAATAACCTCTGTGGGCTGCAGAGCTTGGTGCTTTAAGGGACTGGGAGCACCCCTACTTTGAGGGCTCAAAAACCAGTTAGTGGGACAACTCCATCCCTTCCTTTGGGTGCACCCATGTCCCTGCCTGTGTGCACTTTGGCACTTGCCAAAGAAAAATTTCTTTATAAGTTTAACCCCAGGGGAAGGGTGTCCATCCTTTTGTCATGCTCTTATGTCTATATGTGAGTGTCAGGGAGAGCAGGAGCCAGCTGGGGCTGGAGGAGGGATCCTGAGCAGCCAGATCAATCTCAACTCTGCAGCAAACTAGAATAGAAGATTAAATGTTTTCTCCCCCTTTTTAATATGCCTTATGCCTTATTTATGACCCTCATTGAAGGCAGGGAGAGCACAGGGATGTGGGCAGAATAATGTACCAGGTAAAGGTGGGGGAAAGGAATTACATGTGGGAATAACTTCTTGCAGCAAAGCCAGGGCTGAGCTGGGTGAGTGGCACTGGGGACCCGCAGGTCCAGGAGGACACCACATATGGGCTGCTCTGTTTCTGAGGAAGGACTAGTAAAACAACTGCAAGGAAAACTCTCCCTGAGTGCTTGGGGATCTTTGCTTTCCTCAGCCCATCCTCCCTGACTGGGTTTCAAGGCTGCAGCTGAGCAGATGGACAAGGGATCCAGTTGGGGTGAAGGTGCTGAGCTCCCCTCTGCTGCCTGAGGATCCAGTCCTGAGCCCAGGGTGCAACTAATCTGAACTCCAGAATCCATTTCAAGGTAAAAACCAGAGGACTCTCTTCCTTTCAGAGCTCTTCACAGTTTGCAGAAGTTGTTTGTGCTGCTTGCCCCTGACACAGAAAGGCATGTGGGCAAAAATGAGCCCTGTGTGAAGTAACCAGGGAAGGAAAGCAATGAAATTAAATCATCCTCCTCCACAAAGCACCAGAATGCCAAAACCAGCCAAGATCCAGCTAAAAACTAGATCAGCAGTGGTTTGGTATCACAGTTTGCGTGGCAGTACATGGGGCAGGCACTGTGTGGCAGCTCTACATGCACTGGTGTTTGGATGTGCCCTTGGTAACTGTGGGTGAGCACTGGGTTCAACATAAACCCACACCAAGGCACCACTCTTCACTTTAACGTGCCAAGAAGCTGGAAATCCAGAAATGCTGGAAATTGGGCTGCCAAGGTGCAGAAGCCCTGCAAGCAGAGCTCCATTGCCTCTGAGCAGATGCTGCTCATCCCACTACACCAGCACTCATCTGCTTCACAGATGTCCCTGACTAATGAGCAGCTACTTCGTACTTCTTCCCCTTGTGCTGTGGGTCATCCCAGGTCTGAGTGATTTAAAAATATTCAAGGACTGTGCAGCTCAGCACAAGTCAAAGGGTTTTGCTGTGCATTGGGAAACTCAGGTCCAGCGACTGACCAGGGGGTGGGTTTTGGGAGCCTTTTAAAGCCCTTTTTAAACCTGGGATGAAGCAGCAGTGTTGATGCACGGTATAACCCTCACGGTATAACCCTCACTTTTCCTCCAGCAAACTCCATCTCAGGGCTTTGGATGCTGCAGCAACAAGGCAAAGGATCCATGCAGGGGGTGGTCTGAGAGTGCCCAACCTCGTCACACACACAGGATGCTTCAGTGCCAACATCTGGTGTTTTTCAGAGGGACTCCGGAAGGGAAGGAACATCCTGCCCCTGACATCTCCACTGAGCCATATTATTAGTTTTGGTGATTAAATCGAAGCCCATTTGCAGGTGACAATGCTGTAAAAATAAGTAGGTACCAGAGCCGACATTGTGAAAACGAGGCAGGAGCACAGAGCTCAGGCAGCATACATAATCCGTGGGGAAATAAGTGTGTGAATAATGAATGGGCACTGGAAAAATAAAATACATTATTGTGGTAAAGATAAGTCTATTAAAGACTCGCTGCAGAGCCTGCCTGATAGATTATTGAGTTCTTTGCCTCAGGCTGCAGCTCTTCTCTACCCTCAGCTGTGTGCCCCCATCTGAGCATCCACCCAGAGTGGGCTTCCCAGGCACCCTAACTCACCTGGGACAGACACCTCAGACCTTTTTGGCCCCTTTCCCTGCTCCCTCTAAGTGCCCTGCACTGGCTTTTAGCTGAGTCCAAGGGAATGGGAGCTGGGTGCAGCCGGGAGCTCAGCACCACAGCGCTTCCTCCCTGAGTGTTGCTGGGGTTTCCATTTAATCCCACCACAAGCTCTGCCTCCACCCCTGCTCAGCCTCCCAGTGTGGGGATAATGTTACACCAGCTTTGCTCAGAAGGGGGAAAGTCTCCTGCCTGCCAAACCCAGAGTTACTGTGCCCAGCTGCGGGAGGCAATGGGCTGCCAAAGCTCGGCCATCATCCCAGCTCTCCGTGTACTGACACCCTCTCTTTGTCTTTCCTTGCACCACCCATTGCACCTTCATCCCAGGCTGAACTGCCCTGAGATACCCAGAACCCGGCAGGAGCTGATGATGAGGGCTGGAGGGTCCTTGGGGCCTTCATCCCTTCATCACCCTCCTCTGCACACACCCGAGCAGGGAGTCCCCGGGTGGGCACTCATGTCCCGCGGGATGCCCACAGCCATCTCATGTGCTGCCCTGTGCCCACTGCTTCTTGAAGAGAGACCCAGGTGTTGGAAACTCTGTCCCTGCCCCATCAGCCCTGTGTGTGCTGGCAAGGGGGAAGACACACCCATCCTCCCCTACCTGGATGTGAGTTTTGCTGTCACTGCTGCTCCGGAGGATAAAAGCAACTCCCCTCCCTGAGTTCCAAAACAACCCGACCTGAGCACGTGGGGTGACCCGGGTAGCAAAAGCTGTTTCTCCACCCCATCAACCCCAAAGCAGCAGCAGCCAAGGCCACCATGTGCCAGGACCTCGTGGGTGGCACGAGCAGGCAGGGATGGGTTCGCGCCTCAGCTGGCAGCGGGCACGGCCCAGCCCCAGGCTCAGCCCCAGTCCCAGGCTCAGCCCCAGCCCCAGGCTCAGCCCTGCAGCGAGCTGAGCCCAGCTTTGCTGCCCTAATTAGAAACAGCCAAATTAATCGGTGAGCTGCTTTTCCATCACAGCCTCTCCAGCTCTGAGAAGAGCCTGTGTTGTTCTGCACTGACCTGAAACGATTTGTCAGCGGTCAGTGCAGCCGTGGCAGGGATGGTGTCTGCTCCCATTATGGCTTTCCCTTCTGATCTGAGCTTGGGCTCCCTGTTTGTTTTTCCCAGAGAAAAAGGGGTTTTGTTTGTGTTTCTCCTTCAGCAGGAAGAGATTTTCCAAAGGAGCAGTCACTTTGAATCAAAGTCTCTCCCTTCCCAATGAGCCGCTGTGGTTTTGGGGAGATTTTGCCTGTTTCTTTTTGAACTTCTCCAGGATGTGACTTGGGTGAAGCAGGGTGTGGGGTCACCACCCTCGGCTCTGCTCTGTGGGACAGCGGGGGCAGATGTGAGGGGACAAACTGCTGTGTGATGCATTATTGCCCATCAGCTGAACTCCTGCCTTGTGACAGATCCAGGGAAGCGGCTTCAGGGTCTTCCTCCCTACACTTCAACCTGGAGCCGTGACAGCTCGGGCTGTGGCTGAGTGTTTATCACCACAAACAGGGCAGCTGGAGTTGGGAGCCTCTTTGTGTTCTCAGCTGAGGCTCAGTCCTCGGCTTTGATGGGGAGACTGGGAGGACAGGTGGGGGTCTTCCAGGTAACAAGTGATGGGACAAGAGGAAACCACCTCAAGGTGTACCAGGGGAGGCTTAGATTGTATCCAAGGGTATCGAGGTGGCAATCCCTCTGTCCATCCAGCCACTCACTGGGAATGGGGATGGTGAGTAGGGCACAGATCAACACTGAGCAGAGGTGGGATGTCAGACAGAGCCTGGGACTGCCCCTGTCCTGCAGCATTTCTTAGTGGGGAACTGCACCAATGTGATTGTCACTCTGCTGAAAGAGCAAAAAGGACACAGGGATCTGCTTTGGGATGGTCACGGAACCTTCAGCGAAGGGCAAGGTGGCCTCTTTGGGGCATGCAAGTGCTGCTGAGTGTGGTTTCCTTCCTCAGATCTGCATCAAAGGAGCTCAGGGATGTTCTTTTAAAGCAGTCTGGGGTATTACACTCCATCACAGCACCCAGTGCTGGCCCTTTGCGGGGGGAGCCCAGGGTTGCTCCATCCCAGAGCGATGCTCGCAGTCTCGACAGCAGAGCTGCATCTTCCCCTTCTCCTCTGTGAGCTGCCACCCTCTGGGGAAGGCACTGGGAAGATTCCTGCAGCAGAGAGGAAGCACCAGCCCCGGATTCGTGTTTGAAGAATGAGTTCGATACACGTTGTGTGATTTGGGGAATTGCAGTGGGGGGAGGACGGTGGAGGAAATGGCAGCTCGGAATATTGGGGGTAAAATAACATCAATAACGAAGAGAGCAAGAAAGAAATCAGGCAGGGCTGCCCGTCAGCTTGCTGATTTAAGATTCACTTTGAAAACCTATTCCCCTTCAGGGGAAACACGTGCCTGCCCCGCCGGCAGCCGACCAGCGCTGCTCCGGAGGAGGCGTCTGGGAGGGAAGGGGAGGATTGCGGGAGCTGCCGCTGCATTTACAGCAAAGCGGAGTTTGGCGGTGCTGAATCGCTCGGGGAGGAGAGCAGGGACGGCAATTTCTGCTCCCGCTGCACCTCGATAAAGGGAGTGCCGGGCTGCGGGTGGCTCAAGGCTTTGTGCCGGGAGCGTGGCCGAGGCTTTGGCTCGGGGTGGTCGTGGGGAAGGGGCTGCAGTGATTCCCGGGGAGAGAATTGCCCTCAGTGCAGGAATCCAGGCACATCCCTCTGGGAAGAGCTTCAAAGGCTCGCCCGCCTTAAATACCTTTCCTCCTTGTAGCCTCTGCTTTGCATTTTCATTTTTCAAACACCTCATAATCACACTAATTAATACATTCTGGGATAATTCTTCCAGGCTTCCATCACATTTAAATCAGCGTTTATTAGCATATTGCCGTGTCTGTGGTGTTTGTCCAAGTCCAATAACCTTGTGCTTCATTATGAACCCAAAAACGAGCTGGAGAGCAGCGAGCTGCCGTCAGGTGGCCAGCCTTTATTTTCCTCCCAGATCATTAGAGCCCTTTTTGGTGCCACGGTAGCATCTTGCAGCACTGTGCCCACACTCAGCTGCAGCCAACCCATTCATAGTCCATGTTCATCCCCAAGGAATTTTGTTGGAGCTGAATTTGGCAAGGCCAGCATTGTCTCAGCATCTGGTTCATGCCACCAGCTCTTCCTGGTGCACTGTCTCCTGGAGTGAGCAAGTCCATGGCATTATCCCACCCTGGTGCAAGGGCTGGGTGCCCCTTCCCCAGCCACATCCTTCTTCCTGAAGGTGACACCGTGGGATAAGGAGAGACTGGTTAATGCTGTTTGAAATCGTTCTTTGCTGCCAGAAGGGGTAATTTTGCCCTTTGATCCTGCTCTCTTCTTGCCTCCCCTTCCCTTGTGCAGCAAGAGTGATGGGGTGAGCTGGGGATGGGACAGGATGGGCACACGGGTGGCTTTTACTCCCCAAGCCCATCTATTGGAGCACACAGGAGCTGACATCCCCTTCTACTCCATCCTTGTGAAGGCTGGGGGAGAAGGAGGGTCTCTGGAGGGGGTCAAGTCCATCAGACACGAGATGGGAGGCTGCATCCCCCTCCCTCCTGCCTGTCATCTCTCAAAGGAGGAAAGTGGATTTTTATTCCCTTTGACAGGCAGATTTCTGTGGCTGGGGAGGTGAGAAGGTTTGGAGGGTTTACTACATGAATGACTCGAGATTTTGGCCTTTACTGGGGTCAAAAGCCCCCCTGCCCTGTCCTGTCCCTCCTGCCCACTGAGAGGCACAGAGAAAGTGCAACCTGGGTAATGATAGAGGCTTAAGGATCTTTTTGACACATTAACTGATGTTCCCCGGGGAAATTCCCACTGCAGAGTAAAGCCATCCATCCCTCCCCTCCCCGCTCCCCCTTCCCATTGCTCCCGGCGATGGGAATAGCCGTGATCGATCCCCGGTGTCAGCGCCGGCCCCCGCTCGCCGGGGCAGGTCAGGCCCCTGTGCCCCCAGCGCCGGCCGGGGTGCGGCGGAAAAGTCAAACAGATCCCCGTCACAGCCATTAATCCTGATTAGAGGTGCCAGGGCGGGTCGGAGCAAATCCACCCCGGCTCATCTCGGCTGTCAAACCCACGTCCTGCAGGGCCGAGCCCCTCCGTGCCCCACGTCGGGCTGGGGGCATCAGGTGTAGCCCCCAGGGAAGGGGCAGGGACAAGGCAGGGAGGGTGGAAAGAAACGGGCAGGGGGTGTGCAGAAGCCTTTTTTTTTTCTAAGGCAACACAGAAGTTTCCAAAAGAGCCAGGAGACAGCACAGGCAGCAGCACCGCACCGGGATTAACACTATCCCTAAATTTTTTTTTCAGCGACGGCTGTTTGCATTGAAAAATCTCAGAGACTTTTGCCTCTGGCTAACACATTTGCTCTGAAAACATTCCCAAAATATTCGTGGGGGGAGGGGGTGTTTCCCAGCTGCCTGGCCATTTAGAAGGGCAAAAAAATGATCAAATTCCACTGGCTGCTCAGTGCACAAAACTCTGCTGCTGCATTAGCTGTATCAGCCGGGAAAATGTATCCTTCAATCAGTTTAAGCCTCTAGGCTTGATGTAATTTTACTGCTGCCTTCTCTCTAAGGTACTTTTACGGCTGCTATCTCTAAGTATTTACAGACGGGGAGAGCACCAAAGTGAGAAGAGACTTTACTCAATTTTCCCCGACATGGGTGGCAGCTCAAGGGTTGGCAGACAGGGCTTTCCCCCTCATGATTTGCAGGGACCCACAGTGGGACCCATCCTGCTCACTGTCACGGGCAAGGAGCCTGTTTAAACACCAGCAAAACCTCCAGCCTCGGCAGGAACTGTGG